CTATTAAATAAAAGTTCCGTCTCACTCAAGATAACTACTCTTCTTGGTGTTTTTTCTTATAATAACTCTAGAAGCTATAAGATCAAAGAAAGTGCTTTTTCCCTATTCAGGATAATAGCGCAACTAAATTACGCATAAATAAACAATTAAACATCTTAATTCCTAAGAAATGTAAGGAGAAACTACCAAAATATTGTATCTTGATAGCATAATTGTAATGTCATTTTCCATAAAATAAATATAATGTGATTTTTAAGGGAACAAAGGGCCAGATACACATCTAGCCTGAACCAAGAAAAATATAAGGCCATATAAATTATTACTAAGCAGTTTATATTTCTTTCCTTAAAATAATTTATTCTAATAGACACAAACATATAATCAAACTTTTATAAATTCTTAACAATAATTATGTAACACTGTTTAGAACACACAGAATATTAAAATAACTTTTACCGAGTCAAAGCAATATGAACCAGACTGTCTAGATTCAAACATAAAACTTAGTCATCAGTTTAACTGGGAACTCACTTTCTTGGAAATTTCCAAATTGTTTTAAACCTGACTTGTTCTTAGAACTCTTTTTGCCATAAAAATGCTTATGATATGATATCCTTTAAAGAAGTGATCAAAGAGGAGAAATTATTTGGTGATCTTGAAAGGACTGGAAATCACTATAACTGAAAGCCCAAGTGAAGACAGTAAAAATGAAAAACAGTAACTACAATAATTTTATAGGAAACTTCCATTGGGAAACTGTCCTTGAAAATATTTCCCTCAAATCCAACAGACAGAACCAGTAAGCCTAAGGTTTTATTTCTATCTTCCTATCCACCTTCCTACAAACATCAACACCAAATTCAACACACCTTAGAGGCCAGCAAGCATCAAGATAAAAGGAATCTGAGTCTCTGAATGACCCTGTACAACCAAGTTGCCCCACCAGCCTGAACACCCCCACTCACTTTTGAAGCATTATGCATCTTTATAAATTCACTATATTTGGGAAACTTTGTAACAGCAGCTTAACCTGTAACTAATTTTATTGTTAGAACACGTAAAATAGTAAGTACATTTTTCAGTAAAACCTTTTAGAAATGTAATTACTGACTAAAAAAATAAGCAGATTAGAGTAGATATATTCAATGAGTAGTTAAATAGTATTAAGGTCCATGTTTTAAGTTAAAAAAAATAAGTATAAAAATACTGAATACTCTTAGTCATTGTAAGAATTATTTGTAGTTAAGGAGGTATATTAAAAATTAGGAGTAATTACAAAGAATAAAACTATAATGCATAGTTTCCAAACCAGCACAGGAAAAGAAAGGAAGGAAGCAAATTATACCAACTCAACAAAAGAGAGGTGAAAAACAAGACACAAATCTAGAGAAGAGAAATAAGGGCACATAAAAAATGAAAACTAATTTGAATGGATGTTTTTAAACTATATACTTTATAAGCTACATATAGCTACGTATGTAGCTTGTAAAAGAAACAGGATAAAAAATTTCTATCTACCAAACAGTATTACTTCAAAATGTAAGAAGCAAAAACAGAATTACCAGGAGAAACTGAAAAATCCACAATGATGAGGGGACATTTTAAACAAATCTATATCAGAAACTGAAAGATAGATTTTTAAAGATATAGAAGATATATACAACAAAGTCAACCAGTTTAACAAAAAGAGAATTCTATAATCAACAAATAAAGAATATTCATTCTTTTCTGTTATACATTGAGCATTTACATAATTTGATTAGTAATATGTCACAAAAAATGAAATCCATACAGGCTAATTAGTTCAGACTACGCTATACTTAAATACTTAAATAATAAATTACCAAAAAAAAAAAAAAAAGAACCAGAAAAACCAAAGGTTTCATGAGTTCAGAAATATAAAGATGAACTATTAAATAAATCTTGGGGGAAAAAGGTTAATCACATTTGAAATAAAAAATATTAAGAACAGAACAACAATGAAAGAATTAAATATATATTATGTATTCAAAGCGATACTAGTATGAACCCAAAATAAGAGTTATGAAGTCAAGAAAACAAAACAGCAACAACATAGTAAAGCCAATGAAAATAAAACAAAAAAATAAAAGAGAAAAAACTGATGAATTAGAAAACGCAGAGATAAAGGAAGATCAATAAAACCAAAAATTTATTCTAGGATCAAAAGACACAAATTTCTGAAAAAAATCTGAAAACAATATAGGGGGACTTTTGTATTAAAAGCAAACTTATCATAGAGCTGTATAATCAAGATAGATTAGTAAATCCAGTAACAGATTCATACATATATGGAAAACTCAAAATGTGACAAAATGGTTAAAACTAGAAGGTGAAGATGAACTACTATAATTTATAAAAAGGTTTTCGTCTGACTATCCACATGAAAAAGAGAAAGTTAGGTCACTACTCTCAGAACAAATATAGAATTAATATTAGGGATAGGATTTCCTAAATAAGACACAGAGAAACACAACCCATAGAAGAAAACATTGATTCATACAATTATACTGAAGTTAAACTCTCCGTTCAAAAATAGGTACTTTAAAAACATGAAAAATCAAGGTACAACCTGAGAGATGTGTAATATTTACAACTGACCAAGAATAGTATCCAAACTCACAAACACATAACCACCACTGCCACCGCCACTCCCCAAAAATAAAAAAGATAAGTTAGCATTTAGACAAGAAAAAAAAAAAAAAGATAATTAATTACACTGTGTCCCAATCTCACAACATTCTGTAACAAATTAAAACAGCAATAAAATAATATTTCACACCCATTACATGGGAAAAATTAGGTCAAAAAGTATAAAATGTTGGCAAGAATGTGGAGAAACAAGAGCTCTTATGCACGTGACCAGTGGGATACTGATTATCCAATCACATCAATGAGTATGAGAAAGTTGAAGATAGTCATGCCTAAGATCTAGCACTTCTGCTTTTAGATTTATTGCCAAGAGAAGCTCTCCATAGGCTCACAAGAAAACATATAAATGGTAGTCATTATAGTACTGTTTTTACTGGAGTAAAAAATTGAAAAATGTCTATCAAAAAAACAGAAGAGATAAGCCTTCCATTGTACTCATACAAGTCCATTCCCTCATACAGTTAAATAACATACTGGGAAGTATAAAAATGCATAAATATTATGCTGAGCAAAAACAAGCAAGTTGCAAAAGAGTTTGTAATATGTATCATTTATATAAACTTTAAAAGCATGGAAAATAAATATATGTAGATACAGTGACATTTATGTGCCAATAGTATAAAAGCATACACAAAAAATAATAAATATCAAAAAATGTTAGAATCAGAATAGTGG